CTGATGACGAACGCAAACATTTTTTTAAGTTTTGTGTATTAACAATGCCACTCGTCTCTTCTCGATTGACTTCACTAACAATGACAAAACGTTATACAAGCAAATTCATATTGCTGTGTGATCAAATGAAGTTTGATCGATTGGAAATGTTAATATTTGATGATACACACGGAGAAGGTAATAGATAGAGTTTTATGTACTTCTAAATGAGTGAGTTTTTGATTTTCATCAGATTAATGTTTATACCCATATTGATCGTGTTAGTGTTACTTTATACTATGACTTCCCTAAGATAGTGAGATCTTACTTTACACAACAATATCCCAATGCACGCTCTTTGAATATAAGTGGACTACCTGAAAGATATTTACCTTCTCTTCTCCAGTCCATAAAAGTTGATACATTGAATCACTAATACATTTCGAATTTACCAGATGAAGTGATGGAATAGTTACTACTACGTGCAACAGGGCTGAATTCAATAAGTTTATCATATGCGGATGCAGATGAAGATATCAATGAAACAAGTGGTTATTGGCTTTTGTGAACATTTTCGAATCAACAAATCCGACTGAATATGTTAAATATAAAAAAATTAAAAATGTCTGACTGTCGATATAAAGTTATTGAATCAATGTTAATCTCGTTAACATATTTCCAAATATTGAATCGTTTCAGTTTGACATGCATCATTGTTTATTGACTGAACTCAACTCAGTTCTCGAAATGATTTTGAGGATAACGAAAAAATTAAAATTTTTATATTTGTCAACATACAATTTATGAGTATGGTCCTTCAATATCACCAGAGCGTAAATGGACTTGATGGATAGAACGAAATGTGACAATTTTCGAACGGTTTCATTTAAAATATTCAATAGAAGCAGGTGACTTAATACTATGTATTTAAATTAGACTGTCCTTAGACCCTTAAACCGCAATCGCACATTGTTGCTTCTGACATACGAATATTAAGAAGAATTTAGATTTTCATACAACATTTTAAAAATTTTGTTTAAGGTTAAAGTTGACTTGACTGTAATAGCTATTACAGTCAAGTCAAGTTTAACCACAAACAAAACATTTGTAATATGATGCGAAAAGCCTTTTGTTTCATGATATTGGAAAATGTATCACACAATTTAGAATACGGCCGGAACAGTAAATGTTAAGAACCAGAGTGTTTCTGAAAACTTTCTTAAACTAAATGTTCGCAGAATTAAAGTTCTGAAGAGCTTTTAATTTGATGAATATTCATGAATATTGAATAGGTATTAGAAAATTAACATATAACCTTCGAACTAACATCAGAAATAAATTTTTGTTACGTTATATCCACAGCTGATTCCAAAAAATCACCTTTAGAAACACCACGCTGTTATCACAAGTATTCACAAAGATGAACAATGCCGTAATCGGCTTCTTATTTTATCTATCTGTGCACCAATAACAAGAACTTTCTACTTACTATGATATCTTCGATTCTTCTCTCTAACTCGTTGCGAATGCTCTTTTCTTAGTGAATCCATTACGAGCAACAATTCACTCACTCTCCATTAAAATTTTACCAAACCAATTCACAATAACATACACGAAAGGCAATATTATAATTATCCACTACTATATCAGTCTAGCCTTTACTCTTGACCCAACAACAATTTGTTCCAATTCATGCGTTGGAGTTGGAGGGCTGTCAAATTATCTTTATACAGTATAACCACGAAGTGAACGAGAAACTTCAGAACATCAGAATTTCAACCTCATCCTTATACTGTGTGCACTAGTCACTCTTATAGAAAATGTTAGAATTTCAGAATTTCAGAAATTCTAACATTTTCTATAAGAGTGACTATCGCACACAGTATAAGGATGAGTTTGGAATTCTGAAATTCTAACATTTTCTGTAAGAGTGACTATCGCACACAGTATAAGGATGAGTTGGAAATTCTGAAATTCTGACATTTTCTATAAGAGTGACTATCGCACACAGTATAAGGATGAGTTGGAAATTCTGAAATTCTAACATTTTCTGTAAGAGTGACTATCGCACACAGTATAAGGATGAGTTTGAAATTCTGAAGTTTCTCGTGCGGTTGATAGTTATACTGTATAATGATAATTTGACAGCTCTGTGGAGTTGTTGCTATCCTTCCGTAGTAACACCTTTAAAGTATGTCTTGAATTTTGTAAACTGTGACCAGCAAGCCCTTCGTCGCACTCTGTCGTAAATAGAACCTATGTTTTTTCTTTCCAATAACGTTTACTTAGCATTGAATCTATGGTTAAAATACGTCTCTAAATGTATCGAAAATTATGTACCAAAAAAACCTAATAACTTAATTTAGTAGGAAAAATCATTTGTTTAAAATATCGAAAACTACCATTAGTTTGATTAAGGAGCGCAATAAATTGTTTCAGAAAATAAAACGTAAGCCAAAAGCAAATAGAGGATCGCATAAAAAGTTAAGAAATAAGGTTATAGCATCAGTTCGCAAAGATAAAGCTAACCATTTTAAAAACATTCAGTCGCTATTCTCTGATCCCAAAAATTGTTGGACTACTATCTTTTTCAATGAAGGATGGAGTCGGTTGTAACTTGAACAACTACGGAACGGAAGCAGCTAGAGACCTGCAGTTTCCGCTGGTGGAAAGAGAAAAGATAACTTTATACTTTTCTGTAACATCCAATGACCTTCCACTGACTTTTGGCGGGACCTATCTGTGAAACTTTTTGAAGTACGCTTAGCGCTGAAATTTCGTATAACACAGGGCTATCGTTGCACATACATTCGATAGAAAAAATTGTTCGCTTTCGATCTAAACAAGACCGAGCTCTCTACCTCGTGTTGTTTAGAAGCTTTAAGCGTTTTCGTGAGGCCCCCGATTTCGGCCAGCTGACCTCAGATCCGTCACAAAAACGTCGAAATATAGATAATCGAGCATGCTGAACCGAGTGGTGATGTTTATTTTCAGCTCTGAAGCGATGTGAATCATTAAATTGCAGATATTTGAAATTTTAACATTTCGACGTTATTTATGCTGTACAGCGTATGGAGTGGATGTTTCAGAAATTTTGAATTTAATGATTCAAATCGCCTCAAAGCTGAAAATAAACATCACCACTCGGTTCAGCATGCTCGATTATCTATATTTCGACGTTTTTGTGACGGATCTGAGGTCAGCTGGCCGAAATCGGGGGCCTCACGAAAACGCTTAAAGCTTCTAAACAACACGAGGTAGAGAGCTCGGTCTTGTTTAGATCGAAAGCGAACAATTTTTTCTATCGAATGTATGTGCAACGATAGCCCTGTGTTATACGAAATTTCAGCGCTAAGCGTACTTCAAAAAGTTTCACAGATAGGTCCCGCCAAAAGTCAGTGGAAGGTCATTGGATGTTACAGAAAAGTATAAAGTTATCTTTTCTCTTTCCACCAGCGGAAACTGCAGGTCTCTAGCTGCTTCCGTTCCGCAGTTGTTCAAGTTACAACCGACTCCATCCTTCATTGAAAAAAGATAGTAGTTTAAATCGTTTTAGAAAAAACTACTCAGACTATCCTGCTACAGTTATCCATGCTAAGTCCACTGCAAGGAATGATCAAGTGAAAGCTGACATGTTCCCTGAGTTTCTTCTCGAATGCTTTTCATCAAACGTAGGCTCCCTGCCTCCTCCCTTAAATCAAAATCAACATCAACAAAGATGTATAAGTATTCAACAAAGATTTGTATCACCTTTTGAATTTTCGGTAGCTGAAGTCATAGTTCTGATAAAATTGTTAAAAAAGAAAAAATCTGTGGGGATTGACGGAGTTCCCGTTCAATTTTTTCAGTTCTGTGCCGATTTACTAGGACCCCAGTGACATTTTGTGTTTATGAGAGCGTTAGAAAATGGGATTCTTCCTGAGTTATGGAAATTGGCTTTGATTAAGGCAGTTCATAAAAAAGGATCTCGTTCACTCTGCTCCAATTATCGCCCGATTTCGTTAATATCGAACGTCAGTAAAGTTTTCGAAATGTTAGTCCAACAAGCACTCCTACGTCATTTTGAGCATACAAATTTTTGTAGAATAAACAACTAATAAACACCTGATGTTTCTGTTCAAGTGGAAGAACTTTTCCATACTTTTTAAATTTCATTTTTAGATTTAATCGACGTTGTTCCAAATGTGCAATTATCGTCGTTCTCCAGTGTTTGTATGTTCTTCAATATCGAGAATTAATAAAAAAGTTGACCGGAGCAGATCTTTCATGGAAGGAAGCTTTCCAATTATGTGACAAAAACTGGACTAGCTTAAGTGAAGAGCAGCGACAACAGTTTAGAGATCGGTGAAAAGGATGGCCGGCTTGATGCAACTCGTTAACGCATAAACCTGTCAATTCGTGCTTTACAATTGCTTGTTGGGTAAAAACTGCCTACAAAGATGTATAATCAGCACAATTAGCGAAGATTCGTGGTCACATTGACTAACCTTTTATTATGGCTTTTTTCCTGTATTGTCTATTGATTTTTCAATAAAAAGTAAAGCTTTATTGCATCCGTAATCAAACACAGAAAAAAAAGCATGACCACTTAAGATGCTTTTTGACATTAAGTTAAAAATGTTATTCAGAAAAGAAATTTATTAAAAACCTATGGGTCAAAATTCATGGTTTGCTTAAAAAGTCATCTAGAAAATTTTTAAAATTTTGCTGAGACGGTCAGTTGAAAGAGTGTCGTTTGAAACCTCTAAGCCTTGAGTTTCACTAGTTTTCCTCTAGCACGAGCGGGTGAAATAAGACAGAACTCTCTTGTGCAACACGCCAGTTTTATGGGTTCTGTATTCAGCATGGCAACGTTTGATGGAGACAAAGAACTCCGCTGAGTCTGATCATGAAATCCACAAGAATGGGTAACGATTCAGAATGGGCACATGATATATATTTACGGCATAAAGAGAATCACTTGGTTATGGGCTAAAATCCTTGTGACTGCTGAACAGAGCAGTTTGGGGGAAAAGAGTCGTATGTGTTTAGTCAGCAAAGGTAAATTAGGCTATATCCATTCAATATTGGAATTGTGAGTTTGAATGGATGTTATTCGTTTTCGTAGATAAATAATTCAAGTATAGTGTTTAAATAATAATGTATTCGAATAGTCCATCTTCTATGAATTTGTTTCAAATGGATTCTCCTCTTTCAATGATTAATGGTAATACGAATGAAATCGAATTCGGTTTGTACGTTGATACGCTGGAACAGGTACGTTTAAGTACTTTACTTTAGTACATTATTGGTTGATCAATTGCTGCACTTTTTAAGGCACAAGTGTAGTTGAATTATTAAATCTGATAAATTCAGATAGTGCACCACGGCATGATCTAATACCTATGCCATAAGAGTGTCGATCATCGTCCATGCTGTTTCCAGCCGAAATCCAAGATTTTTCGGGTAGGTACGGAAAATTTATAAGATATTATTTGTAGTTTCTTATATTTTATATACTCATGCTTTTTAGTGTCAGTTGAAAGACAAGATGACGAGATCCAGTGTTTGATTGATAATCTTGCCCAACAATATCAGAATGCATTATTTCCACCAACGTCTGAGATAGATCTGTCATCAAATGTTGCACCAGTAGATGTATATTCAACTATTCCTGAGCACCAGCAGAATGCCAGGCAAGAAAATGAATCAAGTAAGTTTTATTGACACATTTTAGATGCGCTAAATAAAGCTCTTGTTTTATTCCATTTAGCAGTCTTAACAAACATTGATCAAATTTTAACAAAAACATCTATTAATGTCAATAGTTTTCGTGCGAACTTTTCTATAAAAAAACAACTAAAATCAATGTAATTAGAATCGTTTGGGCTGATAACAGAAACATTCCGGCTAAATCGAATGCTGTAGTGCAAATATCGATTCTCTGTGTAAATCTCTCTAAGCAACGCGTCGAACATTTCATGGCTGAAAATTCGCAGTTAGCTGCTCAATACACTGCTGCATTTGCTTCAAACGAGAACGGTTCTGCTATTGATCTCTTCATCGTTTTATTTACGATGAACCCATCAACTGCAGCAGCCGTTCTTGATATTTTTGAAGTACTTGCGGCTGCAGCTAATTGCAGTCGTTCAATTACACAAATGGGTTCAATCAAAAGCCCTGCACATGCTGGACCAAACATTACGAATGAAGACCCTTATCCGTTGTTCACGTTGGACGCAAAACGATAGATATCGACAGACTCTCAGAAGGCTCTGGGTATTTATCAACGCAAAAAACGTACAGCAATGGTTTAGGTCGTCTGAAGAATGTTTACTCTCTGGTACTGCAGGACTTCAGAAAGAGCTTCGACGTATCGGCTGTGTCTCTCCACGTACTCATGTACTGACGGTCCGCTAATCGCGCTCAATCAGATATTTAGACCTCAACATTTGAGTACGCAGTAATTTGTTTTTTTTCAAAGCCACATATTCTTTCCATTTTGTTTTCTTTTTTCCAATCTGTACATATCTTTCAAGAAAACGTTTGTATATATTTGCATAGTATTGTTTGTACACATTTGTAGAGTTTTGTATACTTCTGTAAAGCATTGTTTGTATATATATCTAAAGTTGTCTTCTTTGATATTTTATTCGGATGCTTTTACTCTGGCTAACAAACATTCAATCAACCCTGACTTCTGAAACTCTGTGAACGCTAGCAACAAAATAACGCGTACTATAACTACTCGATTCACCAAGCTTACCGCAACCCAGTTATATTATTTCGAGCTAACTGTAACTCCTTGCTAACGCTACATGCGATCCTGATAAACACCTGATGTTCCTATTCAAGTGGAAGAACTGTTCCATACATTTTAAATTTCATTTTTAGATTTAATCAACGTTGTTCCAAATGTACAACCATCGTCGTTCTTCAGTGTTTTTCTATGTTCTTGAATATCGAGAATTAATAAAAAGGTTAATTAAAAACGAAATTTATTAAAAACCTATGGGTCAAAATCCATGGTTTGCTTAAAAAGTCACCTAGAGAATTTTTAAAATTTTGCTGAGACGATCAGTTAAAAGAGTTATATGTGGTACGAAGTTAATTTGACAAATGTTGAAGAATTTTCAAGAGTATTTGAAAAAATTGAATTTCCTGATGTTCGAATATCTACAGAAAACTTAATTAATATTTATAATATTCTATTAAATAATATGAACAATTATCCTATTTGATGTTATGTATTCATGGGAATCATTATCATTCTAGTAAGGGAAATGAAGGATCTAGCTCTTGACTCGAAAAACTAGATAGGTTTTTGAACAGAAGGTCTCGAGTTTTAACGTCGCAGATTCAATGCCTTGCCGAACTCTCGCCTTTAAGTTTGACGTGTTGAGAGTGGGTCAGCTAGACTCAGTTTTCAACGAGGAATCGAATGAGGCTGTTAAGCGAAACGGGAATAAACGACAACGTTTCTTCGGAAAACAAGAAAAATTGACCTTTTCGAGGTTTTCTCAATGAGAAAGGCTTTCCAGAGCTGGAAAAGTGATGTATGTGATCACCGTCGAACGCTGAATCGAAATATGTATAATAAAGCTGGAAGCAAAATTTACTCACACGCGTTTAGGAAATTGAAATGATACTGTACGACGATGCTGTATATATAGGGAACATAGCTGCCTTATCACTACGTAATATATGTACGAGTCGTAGAGCTACTACAAAAATGACGTGATCAAGAACGACGTGATCATAAAACGACACCCTCTAGAATCTACGGTGCATGAATTCTAGAGCCGGAAAAGGTCTAGATTGTGAAATTTTGTTCTTCTTAGACCTGATAGGGTCGAGAGGGAGTGTCTACGGGCGGAGATACGAATACCAGACACCCGAGAAATTGATAAGTCATATGTGCACCTCTGAACGCATTGGGACAAACCCAGTTCATGTGCATCATGTCCTTACATACCGGTTGATCTGGCGACCTAGTAATATCAAGTCTCGACTAGCTGTGACTCAGACTCGAGACTCAAACGGGATTTACACCTTAACCTATCTCCGATCTAGTCCAGTTTCGAAGAGTATCATTTCGAATGGCACCATAACATCCACCTGATGAGACCCTTAAGCAAGGTCGAAAGCGCTCTTGGTAGCTTAAGTAGCGAATAACTCTAACAACAACCAAGTTGTAGCGAGAAGTCTAAGTATCTAAACGTGATGAAACCAAACAGCGCAATTATATTGTATAATGAAGCTCATTCACCCCCATTCCTGCTTCTTCCCCTTGTTTCTTCTGCCAAAACTTGTCCACTTCATATTTCTATTCTGCAACTTTCAAATTTTCCTGTTTGCTACAAATTTTACAAATTTGTTTTGAGATGACTTTGCAGGAAAGAGAAGGCTTACATGCTGTGAGCGGAAAACTTAGCTGAGCAAAAATGATAAATGAACAAGCAATGCTTTGATCAAAAGTTATGACAGGTTTATTAAGAGCGCTAAAATGTGTCTCGTACACTAGCGCCACTATATCTCAAAAGCGACTTTTCCTACGCCATAAACACTAGAAGGATTTCTCCGTCAAATCAAGCTCTAGAGAGCTCGAGCTGATCTTAAATGAAGCTAAGACATATGGGAACAACGTAACTGAGCCCAATTTTTGATTCAGGCAGTCGTTCTTTTACGTTGTTGAAAGTTATACGCTAGTTTTTGCGCTTTTTTCGAACTTTATAGGTGAAATCCTTCGAAAAATAAAACCAACAAAAAACTCAAAAATTGGAGAGGGGGCGGCCTTCGGGACCCGTCCAGAAACTTTGCTTCTGCCGTCTTCGCGAACATTAGTTGGCCTCTAATATGAGCATGAAATTAGTTTTTTGTATCGTTTTGTTTTCCTGTATTTTAGTTCAAATTATTGACGAAAAAGCTGTATCAATTCAGCCTGAAATATGTGGATTACGACGTTGGGGATCGAACAACACGAGCACACTCGATAAGTCATATTTTCTATTTCTGGCGAGGGGTACTTCTAAAAGTTTAGGAAATATTTTAAAATAAAATGGTGTAAAAGAATTTCTATAAATTTAGGAAAATAAAATTAGTTTGAAAATTTTTTCTAAACTTTTAGAAGTATCCCTCGCCAAAAATAGAAAATCTTCCGGGTTATCGAGTGTGCTAAATAAGAAAAAGCACTTTTCAGCAACTCAAAACCGACTGTATTTTTTGTCCGGTGATATGCCTTAAAGAATTTTTTCATATTTTGTCTTGTGTTTTTTTTCTGCTAATGAAGACAAAAATATAGCTTGTTGATTACGCTCAATTTTCTATAGCAATAACTGCTCATTTCTTCCTTGGTATAGGTGACCTCGCTTTAAAGGTACCGAAAGGAAATACGATATGTTTTTAAATGAGATGCACGTCGGGTTTTTTCGATTAAATTATGATCTTTTTAAGAAAAACTTAGTGAGCAGTGCATTGTGTGAATGTGATGAAAATGAGACAGTAAGGCATTTCTTTTTAGATTGTCAAAATGACCAGTAAAGCAGAACTATTTTCGAAAATGACTCGATTGCTCTAACAAACGGCAGCTCTTATACTCCAGAACACATCCTTTTTCTAAAACTTCTAATCCCCATAAACGTAAGTTTAGACGAAATTTGTAAACTTTGTAATATTTTAATAACCTACACTGAAGACACCAGAGATGGGATCGGTTCGTGGTTTTCTACAACCGAACCGAACGATCCTTTTTTTTGCAGAAGTTCAACCCTAACCGAACTGAATCAAAGCTTTCTGAAACTGAACCGAACCGAACCGATTAATTTTTTTTTATATGTAATTAAAGTTAGAATAAAACGAAAAACTCTGTCTTTATTAAAAAAAATACGAGTTATCTGTCAAAGAGTGAGAATTTGACGATGGGATGAGAACAGTTTTCGTTGGAAAAGTTGAAGCTATGGGCTTGCTCTATCTTAGGCTTTAGAAGCTACTCTTAGACTTAGAAGCTGGCGCTTGTAGCTACCTGACCCAATTTTTAACCCATCAAAGCTAGCTTAAGTGAGTTGAAGCTAGCTGATGTGTTTGAATTCGATGCTAATCGCCCATTGGATCGGCCTCTTGGAGCTAGC